CCCAAAGGGCGCGCATCATCAGCATCCGCGGGGTGTGGCGGAGGTGGTGGAGCGAGAGGGGCGGGGATCATCGAAGGGTGTCTAGCTGCGGGGGTCGAGGGGTGGGGGTGGAACACAACAAGAAGAGTCGGGGCTGAAGGACGTGGAAGGATCAGGCAAGGGACACGTCGCGGGGGCGGGCACGTGCGCAGGCGCGCACTCGCGCGTGTGTGCAGTCTGCAGATATGCTCGGCTAGCTCCGGTACCTGCGCTACCCGCTCGTGGGCGCAGCCCCTATTATACTTATACGGAGGAGGAGGGAGAGAGAGAGAAAGAGAGAGAGAGAGACAGAGACGGAGACAGAGACACAGAGACAGAGACAGAGACAGACAGCCAGGCAGCCAGACGGACAGACGGACAAGCAGAAAGACAGAGAGAGCGAGAGAAAAGAGATACAAAGAGAGAGACTGAAACAGGAAGGGACACGGCCAGAGCTTCACGTTGATGCTTTTTACGTTGGATTTGCTGGTTCCACCGTGCAAACATATATGTATGTACATGTGTGTATACACACACACACATATATATATATACATATATATATATATGATGTGTGTATATATGCATAAGTATGATTATATTATATTACATTACATTCCATTATATGATATATCATTGCATTATATTACATTATATTATACTATACTTTATTATAATATAATAATATTTGATATTATATTATATTATATTTTATTGTATTATATTATATTATATTATATTATGTTATATTATGTTATATTATGTTATATTATGTTATATTATGCTATATTATTTATATTGTATTGTATTGTATTATATTATACTATATTATATTACATGATATTATATTATATTATATTATATTACATTATATTATATTATATTGTATTGTATTAAATTATCTTATGTTATCTTACCTTATATTACATTACATTACATTACGTTACATTACACTAAATTATACTATATTACATTACATTACATTACATTACATTATATTATATTATATTATATTATATTATATTATATTGTCTTATATTATAATATATCCTATTTTATATTGTCTTATATTATACTATATTATATTATATTATGTTATATTATATTGTATTGTATTGTATTATACTATACTATATTATATTATATTATATTATATTATTTTATTTTATATTATATATGCGCGTGTGCAACCGATGTTGTGTAGATGTATCCTGCATGTAACAAATTTAGATATGTCGTGAGCGATGTCTTGTTCATCCAGATTCTGGACGTGAGTCCGGAATGCCGTCCGTCACAGGAAACAAGAGGTAGTAGCCCAACTCCAAATTCCATGGCTGCAGAAACTGTACACCTTCCCTGTCAACCTGTACCTCGCAAAGAGCTGCATGCGTAGAAAAACTGCGGCCCATGCCAGCACCCCTAAACCCTAAACCCCTAAACCCCTAAAGCCTAAACCATAAAACCCCTAAACCCTAAACCGTCTTTTCTCCACCAACTCGCCTCCACTTGACTGAACGTCACAGGTGCCTGGCAGGGTGTCTGGTACCTCTCATTCTCCCTGTGTCTCTGTCCGGTTTAGGGTTTAGGGGTTTGGGGTTTTGGGTTCAGGGGTTTAGGGTCTAGGGTTTAGAGCCTACTCTGGTTCCAATCCTTCTTGGCGAGAGGAGCGCAGGTGCGACAGCTGGATAGCTAGCTAGCCTTCCCAGCCTTCTCCCTCTGCTATAGAGCTCTGCATCATTAGCAATAGGCCCCACTTGTGGCCCCACCATTTCGAAGCATTGAGGCCTCTTCTTTAAGCCGAGCTGATTGAAGGCCGGAAGTCTAGAGTCTAGAAGGCAGGCTCTTTGGCCGAAGCCAGGACCTTTTGTGAAGTCTGCACGATCGCTGGGAATGCAGGAGCAAGGTGGTCAAAGACACAAAACGACAGGCTTCGTGCATTCTTTCGAACGATCTATCTACCTATCTACCTATCTACCTATCTACCTATCTATCTATCTATCGATCTATCTACCTATTTATCTGTCTATCTATCTATCGATCTATCTATCCTCCATCTATCTATCTACCCTGTCTATCTATCCATCTATCTATCTATCTACCTATCTATCTTTAACTGTATACATCTGTCTATCCAATCTATTCTTCTATTCTATCTATTCTTATATATCTGTCCATCTAATCTATTCTTCTGTCTACCCCGCTCCTCGACGGTGTTAGCAGAAACTGAAACTAGGGGTACCTTACTTAGGCTAGCGGTCCTTATTACCAGGATCTTGGCCGTCTTGGCCCCTAAACCCTAGCCCCTAAAACCTTAAACCCTAAAGCCCTAAAGCCCTAAAGCCCTAAAGCCCTAAATCCCTAAACCCTGAACCAGAATCCCTATCTTGGGTCCTCGGTTTTCTGAAGCGCTGGAAGGCCTTGGCACCTGACTCTGCAGTTCCGGGAGGTGCCTACGGCATCCCTCATCCAGCTTCGGAGCATCGCTGCTGGCACTCATGGTGCAGATGACGGCTCGAGAACTTCAATAACTGCTGCTTTCAGGGCCCCAAGCCCTAAACCCTAAACGTTGGCACGGAGCATCGTTAGAAAAAAAAAGGCTGGTGGGCTACTGCTGGGCCAGGATGTGCACTTAGATGAGGTCTTCACATCCCATCCTAAACAACCCCCTAAACCCCTAAACCCTAAATCCCTAAACACCTACACCCTAAACCCGAAACCCTATAAACTGTTCCTTACACTTTGTTGAAACAAGCTTTGGAAGGTCGGCCGCCATGACGCAACCCGGCCCTGCGAAACATCTTACAGTACCTATGTCTGTTTAAACATTAGGCAACACTACCCTAAACATAATGGGGAAAAAATATTTTTCCCCATTATGTTTAGTAGACACTAGGCAAAACTACCCTAAACCCTAAACCTAGAACAGCACTAAACCCTAAACCCCTAAACCCCATAGAACAGCACAGCCCCCAAAAGGCAAACCTAAACCCTACAGTAATCTCTATAGAACAGCACAACCCCCCCAAAAAAAGGCCCTTCTCTTGAAGGCTCCTAGATCCCTCGACCCGCCGCCTTGCGAAATGCGAAAAAAGAACCCTTACCAAGGCTCACTCACAGCCATGGTCGGAGTGGAGGCAACACCAGTTCTTCTTGGCCTGTCCCAGGTAGTAGGGTTTTTTGTTTTTTTTACCTTTCTCTCCGGAGCTTCTAAGATTTTTGTTGTGACCTTTCTCTCCCGAGGTTTCTAACTCTCTCAACGCATCACCGTTCGCCATCCAGGGTTCCGAGCTCAGGGTTTCGGGCGTTTTTTAGTGGGTGCCACCTGTGGGATCTGCAGGATGCCCCTTCCGCTTCTTGCGCCCTCTTACATCCTCTGCCTTCTAGCAGAAAGGTGTCCTTCAAATTCCGAAGCCCATTGCCTGCAACCAGAAACCTTTGCATACCGACCTCCGTAGTAGTTCCTTTTTGTGGTTTATATTTAGGATCCTATAAGGTAATCCAAAAAAGGAACTACTATGGAGCCTCTGGGTAAGCATAGCTTCTTCAGGCACTATTTCCCTAGCAGGGGTTAGACTTCAACATTATATAGTTTACCGTCCATGCGCAAATTTATGGCCCCGAATAGCTCCCGATCCTTCCGCCTGTGACCACCCCCGGTGCCAGTCGGCCAGCCCGGCATCGCAATCGAAGGCATGGTCAAGGCAGCCAATGTTCATTCGAGAGCAGCACCTCTGTCGTAGTAGAGTGTGAGCAGCGCTTTGAGTTCAGGGTTTCAGGGGCTTCAGATGGTAGAGGGGTTAAGGGCTCTAGGGATTTCATGTTCTGGACTTTGGGGAGGGGACGCGATGTGTAGCTCATGCGTCTTGCATGGCGCGGCCTTAAGGAACGATTCCCGCGGTAATGGACTCATGGATGGATTAGGGCGTGTTTGCTCCTTTGGCCTGACAGTGTCTTACGATGTCTTTCGTCGTTGGCATGAGGGCCTGAATTCAAGAAAAACTTTGGGGTATATCATAGTATCACCATAGTGTAAGGAGATGCGAATACTAATTATTCCGATCCTCGCGCTCTTCCAAATAAACCAGCGACATCGTAGCAGCATGCGAATTAGACTTTGATGGTGCCCCTGTGATGCTGCTGCTGGGGGTTGGACCACTCTACAGGGTCACACACAACACTGTGTGGTGGTCATGCTGGTCACGGAACTGCGGGCGCTCCGCGCCAGTGCGCACCTACTGTATCGCGTTGTCAACAGCCAGTGGGGGAATCAGCAGCTTGTCAGAGTTGAATGGGGACACTGTGTTTGTTCCTGCAGTCTTTGGAACTCTTTACACGCAGCACACGACGATTCAAACAGTCCCAGGAAGAGGCCAAAGCCTCTGGCCACAAAACGAAGCTGTAGGGGATGCTTAAAACAAAAGGCAGCCGAACATAAAACCTGAGGCGGGACCTAAGGCGCAGGATAGGAGCCCTGAATCAGGTACACCTACTTTGAAGACGACCCGAATCTTTAGGTCTTCGGCCACAGCCAAGCTGCCAGGCTTGCTTCTCTTCAGCCCACTCGCCGATGGCGCCTTTAGGGCCCCACATGTTCCCAGAGAACCCAAATACCCCTTAATTACGGAATATACCTGACATCCAATAATTATAAGGACCTCATTATCTTATGATTTAGAGTATATTGCTTAAGTAAGGGGTATTGGGTTCTCTGGGTTCCCCAGGCTCCTAGGGCCTCGTAATCCTGAGGCTTTGGAACTTAGACTGGGGTGGTTGAGGAATATACTCTCCATATACTTTTCTAGAGTCTTCAATGGAAGAACATAGCAAATTCTTTCAGCTTCTAGATGAGGCTGAGTGAGACTTTGATAGCCAAGGTGTTTTCAATGGCTCGATTCCATGTGCTTCTTGATGTCTCAAATCACGATGCGATGATCGAGGGAGCGCAAAGTAAGGCCCCCGTAGGGTTAAGAGTGCCTGGCTTCGGATTTATGGTGGTTACGGATGCCTCTTCTTGCCCATCGCTGTAGACGGTACTTAAATCCTAAACCCTAAACCCTAAACCCCTAAACCCCTAAACCCCTAACCCCTAAACCCTAAAGCCTGCTACGCTCAAACCGAAACTCTGAACCCGACAAGGGGCGGTTTTTCTACATTGAGGGTGTATAGGGCTTCTATAAGGCAACGCAAGGTACATAGACCTTCTATACGGCTCCTATAACGGTAACTACCCACCTGAAAAAATGTCCTTGATTACAGTGTCCCTTCTTGGTCGCCCTTCTTGTGGGAACCCTTCCCAGCAACCCTTACAGTAGCCCTGAACCCTAAGCCCTAAACCCAAAACCCCTAAACCCTAAACCCCAGAACCGCAGAGGATGTCGCCTTTGTGGCAGTCGTGCGCAGGCGGCAGTGTGGTGGAGCCACAACCTGGGAAAGAGCTGAACAAAGGCTGAAAATTGCAAAAAAGAAGGGTGTAGGGGATAGGGTTTAGGGGTTTAAGGTTTAGGTTACCCAAAAGGGCTGTGGGCTGTGTAAGGGATACAATTCTTGGTCAAAGGGCCTTTCTACTAGAAGACGGCTTTGGGTAAAATCTAGCATAATCAAGGGACTGTAACAGGGCAGCACGGCTATTGTGACTGTATGGTTGCTACCGGTGTATGTTTGGCAGTCAGGACTTAGGACAGAAACCCGAGATTGTATGCACGTAATCTTGAGTGAACTAAGATTCAGCATGTGTCTACAGACCATCCACGTTTATGACGCAGGCGGAGCTGCAAGGCTACAACACCCCAACAACTCTCGACCCTCATCTTTCATGACAAGCGCATTTCGCGTGCCAGCAGTCTCAACAAAAATAACTCTCGACTAGGGGCCAACATGTATCTTGTCGCAACACCACGCTTGCTTGGCCTTCGTCCACACGAACTGCCTCAGGTCGGAGCTGAGTGCTGCGTGAAATGGTGCTTTGGGGCGCAAGCCCAAGCATATATATTGGGGGGGGTGGGGGAATCATGAATAATAACATCTCCTTATAGCACCGGTATGACGAAACCTCAAAACCTTATTCTGATCATGAAGGCCCCCGCATATTAGCCTGCGCTTGTCTTCGACTATATCTATCATGACAGAAGAATAGAGAAGCTAAGATGCTCAAAAAGTCGTGAAGCAGCTCACCATGGAAGATTCGTTGGAAAACTTGGGCTGCAGTGAAAAGAGTCCCGAAAGCATATTCAAGAAGCTGCACCCTTAGGATTCAGGACTCGCCCACAAAATACCGACGATCAGAAAGGCAGGGGTCTCGATTCTCGTCCGAGCGACCAATCATCCAGCCCCTGTCAAGCCAGGATAGGGTTTAGGGTTTGGGGGTTTAGGGGTCTAGGGTTTAGGGTTTAGGGGACAATCAGTACAAGCAAACAACGAAGGCCTGCAGAGAACAATCAGCTCTTGAGGACAGACTTGTTTGATGCTGTGGGTCCCTTGTTGCAGTAAATCCACATCCCATCCTGTGCTTGCACTGAGTCTTGGTCAAAACAGCGCACTGTAGTTGCTGCGACTGACTCCTAAATCCTGAACCCAAATAGTATTCTTTCCTGGTTGTGGTGACTTAAATGAGCTTGAAGCAGGGCCCCGCGTCCCGAAGAAGTGAAGGAGCCGTTTACGAAACAGTCCGCTGTCAAGTGCATCCATGCTCATATCCCCAAGGCGGTACGACTATCTTTGCAGGTAATCTAAGGGCGTTAGTAGAAGAATAGCGTGGTGCGGTCACGCTTACTATAGTACGATGACCATTATATAGGCACTATAGAGACATTTTGCCTCTAATTTGTTCAGATCCCCAAGGCATCTCGATGAAGTGCACATTCATTGCACGAATCGTTGGTTCAGCGCTGCGCCCGGAGAAGTACAAGTGACTCTACATATAGCAAGATGTGGGTTTGTCAGATGCTCAGCACCCACCCTAAACCCTGAAACCCTAAACCCTAAACCTTAAACCCTAAACCCTGAACCTTAAACCCTAAGCCCCAAACCTTAAACCCGACCTAAACCCTAAACCCTAAGCCTAAACTGGAAGCCCCTAAACCCTAAACCTTAAACTTTACCTAAACCCCAAACCCTAAACCCTGAACCCTAAGCCTAAACTGGAAGCCCGATCCCTAACCCCGGAACCCAACGTCTGGGCTTCAAGGCTTTGTACAAATCTTTCGGCTGGGCCTCGGCACAGTCGAACGGATCGCAAGCCCGGCCATGCCGGTTGCAGCAAAAGTGCTTCTTCTGCGCCGTCCTGCGCATGGCTTGCAGCAAACAACCTGCATGTATCGTAGCCCAAGAGGCCACCGGTGTCGTAACCCTTGTAGAGTCCCTAAACCCTAAACCCTATGTCGTAACCCTTGTAGAGTATATCCCTTATGTACCGGTTGGAGGTGTCCCTCGACTCGACAGTGCCAGCGTGACATGCCGTATCTGCAGAGACGCTTGAACCCCAAGTGGACCTACTGTCGATGATATAAATCCTGCAGTACCTTTATGGAATTATGGTATATTCCTTATGGGTAATGCAGGACTTATATCATCAATCCGTAGCAGGTCAGCGTTCAGCCAGTCCGATAACAGCCTCCAAGCATATAGGGTTTAGGAAATAGTAGCCCTAAGCCCTTAACCCTAAACCCCTAAACCGCTAAACCCTAAAACCCCAGAAGCCCTTTACTAAACCCTGAGAGCAAGGTAACAGAAGGCTCCAGGAGAGCTCCCAGTGGCCATATGCCACGTCGCAATCGTACCTGCCAGGCTCTCCAAAACCGTAACAAAAAGCAGACTTTAGGGTTTAGGATTTAGGAGGGATTTAGGGGTTTAGGGTTTAGGACCTCCTGTAACACGCACTAAAATGCAGTGGTGATGCGACGGTATCCTTAAAAAGGGTCCAGAATAGCAGCTACAGCCTAGAGAATTTGGGTTTGGCATGACAGTGATTTTAGGCTGTTCACGTGGTGAAGGTTATTAGATACTTGGACCCTCAGGAGTTGCTTCGTCAGAAACCCTTCGTGCAAGCGTGTCGGCTTGATGGCTGGCTCGCTCTCTCTCTGTCTCTCTCTCTGCCCCTCTCTCTCTGATTGTGTCTTCTGCCTGTCACTGTCGCAGGCCCTCTCTCTCCTTGTGTCTATCCCTTATTATCTTGGGCTGTCTGTGCTTGTCTTCGCCTGCATCCCCATCGATCTGTCTTTCTGCCTCCCTCGGCCTTCCCCTCCGTCGCTCTGTGCTTTTCCTGTCTCCCTGCCTGCCCGCCTCGTTCCGCCTCTCTGCCTGTCTGCTTCTGCCGTGCTAGGCGTACAGGGCAGTAGCACCAAGCGGCACAAAATCCCCTTGCTGCCCTGCCCCCAAGCCCTTGTCTAACTATTCAATCCCCTGCATAAACTCAACAAATTTCTGATAAGACTTCTAAGAGACCTCATTGCACAAGATGCTTTAAATGTTCTGCAGCTGTGATGCGGCTCGGAGGTTGTCGTCTCTTCGCAGCCTCACACAGGCAGGTTGCTCTCAAGACACTACGCTGAGCGAGCCGCTCTAAAGCCCCATGACCACTTTAGAAGCTGTGAAGCCCAGTGGACATCACAGAAGCCACGGCAGCTGCCATAGCACGCCGTCATGTGCTAAGAGGTACCATCTCCAACTCCTGTCGTTCCCTGTGTCGCTAGATTGCTGGCCGAAGGTGCCTGCATGCATGTGTTTGCAGCACCAGAGCTTCTTGTCCTCCAGCCATGAACTCCTCCAGACTCGCGGTCCGTCTGTCTGAAAGAGGAAGAGAGGGAGACAGACAGAGAGACAAAGAGAAAAAGAGAGAGAGAGAGGGAGACAGAGAAAAAGAAAGACAAACAGGGAGAGCGGAAGAGACAGAGAGAGAGGGAGAGAGGCATGGGAGAGAGTGGGAGAGAGAGGGAAGGAAGGGGAAGGGAAGGGAAGGGAAGGGAAGGGAGGGAAGGGAAGGGAAGGGAAGGGAAGGGAAGGGAAGGGAGGGAGGGAGAGGAGAGGGCAGAGAAGAAGAGAGGGCGAGAGGAACCCTTTGCCCTGTGCGGCCACTCCTCCAGGTCTTCAGATCGGCCGAACAGTCCTCAAATCTCGCAGCAGGCGACTGCCAGTGAGGAATCTTGTCGAGGGCTGATACAGGGGTCGGAATGCATTGTCTATGTACTGTTGTAGTAGACTATACTCCAAAACCTGTTCTGCTTAGTCAGGCCCATAGCGTAAGGGATCTGCAATGATAACTTGTGCAGGTCCTGGTCATGGCCCATGGGGAGCGGTGAGACCCGAAGCTGAAACCCTATCCCAAATCTCACCGCATTGAAAAATTGTCTCCACTTGCTTACGACGGGAATGCATTTTGAAGACTGCTGGCGACCCACGGAAAGCAGCGACGAATGTCCAAGTTGCAATGAGGACGATGAATGATAGCCCTTAATTTGGGACCCTAACTCCTACTAAAGGGTGCTTTCATAGGAACCCCCCTATAAAGGGATATGCAGAGGTGCAAAAAGTGGCCAAGTCTACACATCTCCCAGCTGCAGCACAAGATTCGTAGCGACCGCAGGCGCGATTGAAGTGAGCACAGCACCAGTTTCGCTTGCCTTGCGTGTCGGTACCCTATTATCTGTTCATGTGGCCCGGCCGTGACTCAGATTCATCAAATCCCTCAAGTTTGTAACGACATGTCTTCCGGCTTCTCATGAGATCTCCAGGAATCGAGTGGGATGATGGCACCGAGAGTTCACGCCGCGAAAGCTGACGGAGCTGTCTACTCTGAATGGCGATGGCCAGCCCGCAACATGCGATGCACAGATCGAGGCCTCTGGCAAAGTTAGGACGGAACTAATGCATGCACAAGCCACCATCGCTCCATCCTTCCTCCCAATTCGAGTATCCTGAACGCTTCAGCGAAGAGTTTGCAGCACAGTCTTGTTAAGGGCTTAAGCGCTTCGGGCTGACAGCGCTAGGAAGCAGCGCATCTTTCTTGGTTTAGGGTTTAGGGTTTAGGGTTTAGGGTTTAGGGTTCATGCAAAAATTCTGGAGCAATCTGCATGCGCCGAACAAGGCCTGCGTCACAGTCATATTCGGCCGTGGTCGTGGTCACGCATCCAATCGTGGAGTGCTCGCAGCACCACGCCTTCTTCGCAGGAGACCTGGGCTCTCCGAAACCGGTCCGAAGGGCAAGTGGGATCCTCCGACAGCATGCTTAGAGGAAGCGGCAGGTGGGGAGCTTAGGGTATATATGGCTTCCGATAAGGCTTCTATAAGGCATATAGACCTTTTATAAGGCTTCTATAACAGTAACTACCCACCTGAAAATGTCCTAGAGCATGTGACCCTCGTACACACAAGTGGACTGCATGACAAATCGAACCTAGTCTGATGTCATACAACTTGTCCTGGAACTATCACAACCGCAGCCACATGAATATGTCCAAATGGATCCTGGATACTGGTGGGTGATCAGGCATGGGGTTACACTATGAGGTACCACGTGCAATGGCAAAGAGTTATATCAGCAGCACACCGTGATCACATAGCCTTTCAAAGTTCATTTGGCCGCTTATTGCATGAAGACATCCGCTGCTGCAAACATGACTGGCTCTCCCTGTTGACGTGAGGTCTTATGCTATAACAGCTCGGAGACCTTTGTGATAAACACTGAGATACATCAGCCAAATATAGTAATATAGTAATGTGCTAGATTCTACAAGAGTTTGCGATGCATCCAAACCGGTGTGATACAGAATGATGTGCTAGAAAATGCTTTGCAATAACGGCCTCTGATGGTACTTCGTGCAGAACCATGTCGCTTGAGGCCCTGGGCCCTGCAATAACTTATCATCGCTGACATGGATCTTCTGACGCTGTGTAGATGTATGCCCATCTCATCTACAGTAACTCTTCTGCAGAAAGATATGGTCAATATGAACATACCTGTAATACAGACACAAAAATAAAGGAACTCAGAACCACAACGTCTCCCTCGATAACTAACTAAATGAAGGAGCAGACAACTCAATAAATCAATCTGTGCAACTATAATATACATATATATATATGTACATATATATATATACATACATATACATACATATGAATACACACACATACATGCAAACATACCGACATACATACACACGTATATGCATACATTTACATGTGTACGTGCGCACGTACACACGCAAATACGTACATATGTACATGCGGACGCATAACTCTGAGGCTTTATAGTAAAGCTTCTTGGCTCTGCAGACAGACTTTGTCCCTCGACGACGAGTTCTGAGGCTTCCACCAAACCTCGTCCCAACGATGCGCCTCCTCCTGGCGTGGAAAACACCAGAGAAAATAGGTTTCAGGGTCGCTTATTTTAAGGGATTTGGGGTTTGGGCTTAGGTGGCACCTTCTTTATGGGCTTAAGGTTTAGGACTACCGTGTTCTACAATGTCGGGTGTCTATAAGCTACTGGGGTACCTTGCCACAGGCTTCAATGGCTTACGGGATGTTCAAGGTGCGTTCTCATATTATATGACATATATACTATATTACACATATATATATATATATAATATAAATATAAATATAAATATATATATATACACACTCATTCCATGTCCTGGACTTGTGCTGCACACTGAAGGTGCTTTGTGCCACTACCCCACCGTCTTGGGCTCACCGCTGTGGCGTGGACTTGGGCTCTGGAGCCAAACCCCAAGCACCTTTAAACTCGAAACCCAAAAAACCAAACCCTAAACCCCCCAACACTGCGCCCACTTTATGACACTGTTTGTTGTATGGAAAGCTGAAACTACTGACTGTCAAATACAGTACGAAAGGGCACCCCTGAACCCTAAAACCCGAAACCCTTACACCCTAAAACCCTAAACCCATAATAACAGGCCGAAAAAAAAAACTACCGAAACCCCTAAAAAAAACCCTAAAAAGGGGCCTCACAGTCGAAGGGATCGCAGGCCCGATTGAACTCCTGCACGGCTACCGCCGAAGCAAACCCAGGCTTCGGTGTAAGGGTGTTCGGGCTTGTAGGGTTTAGGATTCAGGGAGATTCAGGGTTTAAGCGTTAAGGGTGTAGGGTTTAGGATTCAGGGTTTAGGGGTTTAGGATTCAGCGTTTAGGGGTTTAGGGTTTAGGGTTTAGGATTCAGGGCTTAGGGATTTAGGGTTTAGGGGTTTAGGGATTACGCAAGGCTTTAGGGCTCTGGGGTTTAGGGCTTTGGTATGGTGACTGAGCTACCACAACGTTGGGTTTAGTGCGCGGGGTTAGGATAAGCTTTACGTCTTTAGGTTGGGGGGTTGAGGATAAACTTTCTAAAGACATAGGGTTTGGGATAAAGATAAAAGCCCTGGAATCGGGTCAACATTCCGCTGCGTTGGACTGTTTTGACACACTGGGGCTATGTAAGGCATCGACTTCACACCGGTAGTTTTAGGGTCCTTTTTATCAGGGTGCCGTACTATTTTGGGGACCTACAAGGGGCCCTAGTTTAGAGAACTACCCACATGCCACATTCCCAATCCCGCAGTCCAGGCAACACCAGTGCTTCTTTGCATCCGACCAGCCTGCCCAACAAAGAAGACTGCAACGTGCAACGGTCTGACGCTACAGGATGTCACATCCTTAAACCCTATAAACCCTAAACCCTATAAACCCTATAAGTCCTATAAACCCCATAAACCCCAAAACCCAAAAAAACCTAAAACCCCATAAACCCTACATGGTCATGCCACCGGTCATTATTATCTCGGATCTTTTGAGCTGCAGGTCAGTATCAAGTCGCATTTGCGCTGAGGGCCCGGCCTTTTTCCCAGCGAATGTAACCTGCCATGTAGGGTTCTATAAAGCGTTGCTACAGGGGTTGCTACAAGAGTTGCCATAGGGGCTGCTCAACGGGCTACTTTTGGGGGTTACTATCACGTTTACTTTCAGGGTTGCGGGTCACTCTACTGCACAAGGGGTTGGTTTCATGGTGCGGCAGGGCACTTAGTGAAAAAACGGTTTAGGGTTTAGGGGTCTAGGGTTTAGGGGTTTAGAGCTTTAGGGGTTTAGGGTTTGGGTTAGGGTTTAGCCTTCAGGAAGCCAGGGTTGCAGAGCCATGGCAAGTCTGTCAGGAGGCTGCCGAGAGTGCACAGGAGTTTGCTGGGAGGCTGGCAATGTTCAAGGTACTAGCCATAGCACCCAAATGCGTGGATATGCCATCATCATATGTATCTTTCATACATCTCCAAAAGAGCCCCCCCAAAAAAAACAAACTTTGTAGAATCCCAAACTCCAAGCTCTCTAACCCTAAACCCTGAACCCTGAAAACCCTGGAACCCAAAAGGTGCACCTGCGTCACAATCATAGGGCGCAGGGGTCGACGTGGGAGCACACCTGGCTGGTCAGGGCCACCGCTTCTTCGGAACTTGGGTTTGGGCCTAGAGCTGAAGATCTACGGGTCGATGAGATAAATCCTGCGTTACCCATCACAAGGATTATACCAGAATTCCCATAGTTTAGAGAGCTGAAGGTCATGCAGGATTTATATCCACTTGGGTTTCGGGCAGAAGCAGAATAGTCTCGTGGTTCAGTTTGGCTAGGTCGCTGCCGAGGTGACGCCTTAGGGTTTAGGGTTAAGGGACTTTACACCATCGTGTCTGGTTGCGTACTGTACTACATGTTTGCAGATCTGGGCCCTGGCTTGTCCTGATGAAGGTTCGTAGCTTTGTAAGACTATGTAAGCCGAAAGCCTGATCGGATGGGTGAAAGGCTGTCGACTTGAGTATAGTCACAGGCGATGGTGTGCAAGCCTGTTCAAAGACACTTTTTCGATACATTTGGACCATGCAATGCCAGTGCCGAAATTTCTTAGGCATCATGAACTCCGAATGTCGACTTAAGTACCATATCGATAAGGAGTGTACACTACCTGCCCTTCCATGCAGTACTATGTACACGCTACTGATACCGAAAGCATGGCAGTCGTGATGTCAGCACAAGTGTGGGTGCCGACAGGTATCATGCAATGCTTTGCCAGGGCTTACAGGATGTTTCAGTTCGAGGAGAGGAGGCCGCTCCGAGTTTGAAAATGCTCCCGGGTTGGAAGGCTGAGATCGACAGTCGCACTATGCATCAACTTGGTCGGGCGTGCCCTCGCTGGGTGTGGACACAGCACCACTGCTGCCTGAGATGCTTAGCCCGAGGAACCCTAAACCCTAAACCCCAAACCCCAAACCCTAAACACTAAACCCTAAAGCATGTCCAAGCCCGGGAATGTTGCGGCACTCTACAGGCGTCTGGAGATCCCCAGACTCAGATCCACACAGCTACGAAGGCCACGAGAACACTCCCATTTGCAGACAGGTTTGCTCACATGGTTACCCTAAACCCTAAACCCCAAACCCTAAACCCTAAAATCGTCGGCACCCTAAACCATGCTACACCCTAAACCCTAAAATGGCCAGTCGCTTAGGAGACACAAACGACATGGCACAGCAGACTGGGAGGCTAGGTGCAGCCAAGGGTCTTCTCCTGCGTCCACAGTGTCTTCCAGTTAAAGAAGCCTGTGTAGCAGTCCTTGGCTTGTTTGATCAGCTTGCAAGACCCAGAGGGTCCCGTTATAGCTCCTTTTTCTGGGCTTATATTTAGGATCCTAGATAAGGTAATCCCCAAAAGGAACTACATTAGAGCCTATGGGTAATGAAACCACGGGTTGACCGTTGAGCAGATTAGAGCTTTTTGCACATACCTGCAGTCGGGCAGCGTACGGTGCCAGTGTGGTTGTTGCACAGCCACGATCGAAGTGGGTGCAGCAGAACCTTTGAGCTAGAACAGTCATGGAGCACTCTCGGTTTATGTTGCCTTCCCTGCTTGCGCTGAGACAATTGGAATCTCTCTTCACTAAATTATTGGGCAAAGCAGCTCACTCTTTGCCGCGGGCCAAACCGATGGAACCTTGGAATCGCTGCAACGAGCACTTCTCCTCTTGAGATCAAAACGTCTGCTTCTGCATCTGCCTGACCCAAAAAACGATTTCTGACCACGTCTCTACCAGGCACGAAACCACAGGGAAATCTTCAGTTTCCTCGCCAAGTGCGCCATCTAAGAATCTAAAGCTTTCAAGGATTCGCCTGGGGTTTGCTTCCCACCTGTAAGACAGAGGAGAATACTTTTCAAGAGGGTGCATGTTTTCATCACGGCTCTAGACTATTCAAGACAACTTTCGGGCATTCGCACAATGCCCGTTATCGCAAACCTTGCAGTAACCTCTACGACGCCTCAAAGCCAGGCTGCATCGTGGAAGCAGTCGAAGGGCAATGCTCCGACAGTTGTAGTCTCAACACAGCCACGCTCGTCATGCTCACCTCTGGCGGGGGGTTTCGGGTTTAGAATCTAGGGATCGGTCCAAGTGATCGGTCAAAGGGTCTGCACTCCAGATCATCCGGAAGTCGAATCTCAAGGGTTGCGGCTATCCAACTAACTTGAATCAAAGGTGTACTTCAAGTAAGCCGAACTTCCAAGGAAATGGATCGTCCCATCCTGCGTGAGCTCATGTTAAGGTAGCAATCTGAGGCCGGCCCCCTATTCAGCCGAGGTTCAGCACCACTTCTGCTTCAGCTTCGACCAGCCAAGCTTCCAGTTCTCGAAGCCGGCATCGCAATCCTGGAATGGGCCGGTGAGGTCAGCTCGAAGCAGCGGAACCGCGAAGGTTTTTAAGCTTATGGCCTTGGGCTTGGAGATCAGTTGCTCCAAATCCTTCAGCAGGCGCTGCCAAAAACTGCCATGGTCAACCAAGCTTCGTACGGAAACTGTGTCGTGGTCTGGCACGCCCGATGTTCGTGGCGGCAGCACCACTCCTGCAGGTCCCCCACCCAAGACGGAACGGCCGCGGACTTCAACCAGCGTGTTCTTAAACGGCCCCTGAACATGTTTCTCAAGCTGGCTCCTTGCTCAGATTCTACAACCCATAGTTCCAGCAAATCGTATAGTGACCCTCAGCCCTAAACCCTAAACCCTAAGCCCTAAACCCTGAACCCTGAACCCTAAACCCTAAGCCCTAAGCCCCAAAAGAAATCGGAACCGCGCACCTTCTTGAGCCTGGACCAGCCATGCACCCAGTTGGCAAAACCGGCATCGCCTTGGTGGTCCAAGTGCGGTTTAGGGTTCAGGGGTTTAGGGGTTTAGGGTTGTTAAAGGGTTCCTTAAAGGGATCTATAGGGTTCCTTAAAGGGGTTTAGGGTTTAGGGGTTTAGGGTTTAGGGTTGTTAAAGGGCTCCTTAAAGGGATCTATAGGGTTCCTTAAAGGGGTTTAGGGTTTAGGGGTTTAGGGGTTTAGGGTTGTAGGGTTGTAGGGCTGTAGGGTTGTAGGGTTGTAGGGGTTTAGGGGTTCAGGGGTTTAGGGGTGTAGGGTTTAGGGTGAGGGTTCAGGGGGTTAAGGTTCCAAGGTTTAGGGTTGTAGGGTTCAGTCTCTTCGGGGGGGATCCACAACAGCTGCCGAGTCACAGTCAAATGGCTTCGATGTGGTGAGTGCCGTCGTGGTGCATCCCCGATTCACCTCTTTGCAGCCTCAACTCCCGCGCATCGGGCTACCCTGCATATAGGCTGAGAATGTGAGTGACACCTTGCAGACAACCCTAGACAGCCTTGCATGAGGCCTCATGACTATAGCGAGAATCACCGAGACAAGTTTGCAATCACGCAAGACGTGGGCTGGTGTCACTCGCTGCCAAAGGCTGCGGCAGTGTTGCTGCTTCAGAATGGACCAGGACGTCTGCGCCAGGGTTTAGTATAATTAGGGCTAAGGGTCTGAACAGTTGAGGGTTTAGGGTTTAGAAAGGCTCGGCTAAAGAAGCACGCAAAAAGGCTTTACTGGCCGGCTACCCTGCTGCTTCCGACATGATCAGTCAAGGCGACGGGTATGTGAAGTATGTCTTTTGATCAAAACAACGCAGCTAAGGCAGACCCCTGATGAACAATTCTCCTTCTGTAAGGCCCTACTAGTGGGATCCCTATACTCATTCGTACGAAGAGAGACGGGCTTACTAATCCCGGGTCTGCATTCGCAGAGGCCGACATGAACGGCCTGCCAATGGTCGTACTGCGCATCGCAGTCGAAGGCGGACGTGGATGGACAAGCGACGTGGCTGTGGAGGCAGCACCTCGGTTCCCCAGTAGCCCCTTCATGATACGGGGTACCCTTTTTTCCTACTACTCGGTTAGAATAAGGGAATAATAAGGGTACCCTTTTTCCTACCACTCGGTTATAATAAGGGAACCCCAAGAATAAACAGTAATAATAAGGGGTACCCTTTTTCCTACTACTCGGTTATAATAAGGGAACCCCAAAAATAAAAAGGGCAAAAGGGCTCTACTGAGCAACCTAGGCACCAAGCCTTCTTGTCTTTTGACCAGCCTCGAAAGCGCAGGTGAGAAGCTTCCGGCCCCAGAGCTGCAGAGCTCAGGCTTCACGTAGGTTGCATAACCCTAAACTCTACCCATAGGCTATAGGCCCCTAAGTAGTTCCTTGTTGGGATTACCTTTATAGGAATTCTAAATATGCGCATTCGAGGCCTAACTAATGCATTCGAGGGTCAGAAGGAAAGCCGGCTCCGTGATTTGAAGCTACAAGCGGTTTTACGTACTGCGTGTGGCCCCCAAAAGTGCACCTGTTCGATATTTGGGAGTTTCAGAAAATGGCGGATGCTAGTCTAGAACACTACGTGGTAGGATCCTCATCATAAGGACCCTGGACAAGGAGGCCCGTTTGAAAACTTTTCCTGCTGCAAATTCTATCAGGGATCCTGCAAATCTCGCGAGCGGTCTTGCGGTCAAGGAGCCTACCTCCCAGTTGGATGCCCCAGCCTGCCACAAGCGCTTGTGCCGGGTGAGAGGGGAGGCATTGGCACGGGCCGTGGACCTCTGGAATGTTGCTGGATAGAGACTTTCCCCACAAAACATGCATGCTTTCTGGTATGAAGGCTCCTGAACCATAGGGGGGACCGACGGTTGATGAGATAAATCCTGCATCACCCATGAGGAATATGCCATAATTCCCATAGTTTGGGGTCAGACGCGCATCTACTGTGAGTCCTTGCCTACAAGCCTGGCAAACATAGAAGCCTGAATAGTCAAGAATATTTGGTACTAAGGGCTTTTTGACATCAATCGTTAAGGTCCCGCGTTTACGGTTCCGACACCCTGTGAATCGGTCTCACTGCCCAATCCCACCAACCGTGCCTTGCAATCGAAAAGCATGCCTGAAGCCGGGCATCGCAAGCTCAACGTCACTTCAGGCACGAGATGACTCATGCAAGATGCACAAACTACCCTAAATCTCCGTAAAACTTTGAAAGCCTTGCGCAGTTCGAGGGCCCATGTCCACCCACCAAATGCAAGGCCGTTAACGAAAAATTGCAACAGGGCTTTGCTGTGCACTACAGTACAAGTATGATGGGAGTCGGTGAAACCTCCGTACAAAGGGCTTCTTGGACTTAACCTTTAACTTTCGCGAAATGTTGGCACGAACAAATATGTCAAACATGTGACTGTATTATCTGGGAGGCATGGCTTAACGATGCCTAAACAAGCTCAGGACAATGCGGCGGGGATTGTGGACGACCCCCCCTCATTGCCAAGGCTCATGCGTCTGCACACAAGAACATCCGATCTCACAATCTTCACCCCTAAAACCCTTAACCCTGAACCCCAAACCGCTAAACCCTACCATCCTCTAAGTTACACCTCTTAGAATGGGGCTTTGAGGCATACTATAGTACAACTATAGAGGGGACACTACAGGGGAATATTCTCGCTAATCATTCCTAACCCTACAGTATGGTTAGGCGTGGATTAGGAGTTTAGGGTCTTAGAGCTTTTGGGTTACGGATGTAGGGCCCTTCTATTCCGACCTGACAGTTTCCCTGGATAGTAAGCTTGCGGTAACTCTTGGTCTTAGTAGCACCCCGAGGGTTTAGGGTTTGGGGTTTGGGGTTTAACGTTTAG